TGACAGAAGTCTATGAAAGGAAAACCAAATCAAGCTCCTGACCTTGGCATCATGGTTCACTTCAGGTTTTTTTGTACCTGAAAGAAAATCTGCTAATATCCCATCCAAGTAATGAATTAACTCGCATGTTATCGGTAAATACAGCAACAGAGATCTAGCTGTAAAGCAGATACCTCTTAAGGTGAGACTCAAATCCAGGGTTTTTTTGTTGTTGTTGTTGGTTTTTTTTTTTGTTTTTTTTTTTTGGTAAGAAAGATCTTGAGGGCACTAAACTATACCTGGGCAGTTATGATTGTACAAACCAATAATAGTTAACAGTTGTCTCAAGAATGTTTTTTTTCAAATGTCTTTAGGAGTGAGCTAACATTCTTTCCCAGTTTTAAAACTGATCTATGTAATATGCATATGTAGGAGATTAGAGGTCAAATACTATATTGCATGAAGTCAATAAAAAGCAGCAGATGGCATTGTCCACATTATCTTAATAGGCAATGTTGTTCTTCAAAATATATTAGACCCAGTATCTGTGCAGCCACTTGATCCCCCAGGGTAGACAATTTTATGTTCATTTACTGCTGCAATCCCTGCTTTGGTCAGGACTGTGTAAGTTTCCCCTTTGACTTCTATTTGCAACTACCCTTATCCACCAAAAATTCCCACTTCTGAGACTGAAGTTTGTCTCGATTGCGAACTGCAAAAAGGTGAATTTTGATTTTGACATTTTATCACAAACTTTTTGAACATTTCAAAACACATAAACTTACAGGGAAAATGCTAAGCTTATGCTGTTAGATATTCTCTGGCCAGAAGTGAAATCTGAAAGTAAAAATCAGAACTGTTTTTATGTAAAAAGCAATTCATGATTAATTTCAGGAAGCAATCTGGTTTAATTTGGCCAAATAAAATTACAGAACATTCAATATGAATATACACAGATGACCACCTAGCAGTTATTCCCAGGTACACACCTTGCAAAGCATAGGCACTCTTTAGGTGTCCATGCTACCGATGGCCCTCAGTGGTGCCATCTTTCTCCTGCAAGCATAAGTGATCCCAAGAGAATTCCCCTGCCTGGCGGTGTTCTCTCTCCCCTGGCACCTGATCCAGCCTCTCTGTGCTGTTTTGTCCTTTCTCTGTTGTGTACAGCCTCCTTTGGCAAGTCTCTGTGCCCTTTCTTATTCTTCAGGGTGTGGAACATTACAGATAATTTCTGCTGGATGGCACCTTAACACTTCATCTGCTCCTGCTGCGCACTCTCTCACTGAACTCGCTCTGCTCTTTGAGATACCTTAATTGCTTGCTGCAGAAGCTGAAGGTGACACCATAAGCAAGTCACCATAAATACATGCAAACCTCTATTAGAACAGCAAATCAGATGGGTGTAGGTAGTGCACAGTATGGATCAGCAAGAGCTGTTCTGCTTTAAATCTCATTTTCCCACATTTTCAGACTCTGCACAGAATCCCAGCAGATGCCTAGGAAGACAAGTATCTTAACTTTATATGGGTGTATATAAATTCCTAAATTGCTTTTTGTTGTTTATACTTCATAAACTAATATAGCACTGAATAAACGGCATTTTGAGAAGTGTGAACAAACTGCATTTTATATAAGCTATCCAATTATGGGTCAGACCTTGCATTTCTTACTCAAGAAGGATTAAATCAAAAGGCAAGTAGTCTGTAAAAACGTGGGTTTAGACACAGCTAGCTAAACATTAAATAAATTATTGTCTCAAAGGAAAAACAAAGGTTTCCAGCAGATTCCTCTGTAATTGTTTCCAGAGAAGCTTATGCTTGCCTCACCCAGAGACCTTCTTTCTAAGTAAAGCTAAAGTTAAATATCTAGTAAGATTGAATTTCTAAGGATTTTCCTAAAACAGGATTAAGTCTCACTGAGGGTATAATGAGGGCAGGTAATGTCACTGCACCTCATGATTTAAACTGTTTTGTGGCTAAATTATATTTTGATTTCTACAGATAACAATTCAGTACCTCTGAGTTTTAAACTTGCTTTTGTAAGAAGGCTTGGTCTCTCTACAGTTTAGGGGTTTTTTTCTGCAATGAAATAAGCAACCCTCTCATCTGAGCAGCATAGGAACCGTCCTGAGGCAGTTCGTCAGAGACTTATGAGGATCATTCTTTTTTTTATTTTATTTTATTGTTCTTTTCCTTCCAGATTATTTTCAAATGGTTTCTTTGGGTTTTTTTCTTTAACCGTGGGTGAAACAGTGGGAGAGTTCCACAGACTAATAATCTGTGGTCAGTCCGTCAACATGGAGGACATGGCTGGTTACCGTGCAATGAACAGACCGTTGGCATGTTTTCTACATATCCTCAAAAGTATTTCTTAAAAACACTTATCAAAGAGCTCTGTTTGACAAATAGCTTCAGTATAATGTCTACAACATCTGTTAATTCGTTAACAGCATTCCCTTTGTATCTGAACGACTATTGCCCTATTGTATCTCAGTGACTTTGATTAACAAGGCAGTTTGTAATTAGATTGGGTAATGTAATTCATGGTCCTCTGTAAACATCTGGATTTGCAAATCTGCCTTCCTAGCTTGGGAGCTCCCTGCCACACATCACTAATTATGCCATGTTCCTGTATACCATCCTACATCCTCCTGCTGAGCATCTCTTCTTTGTTCCCAGTGCGAGTCAGAGGCTATTCTCAATACAGAGAAAATCAACATAACGGCCTAGCACCACATGTGACATTTAATGAAAATGAAGTCATGTCTAATTCACATGGCTGGTGTTATTTTATTAAAGCCAGAACTGCAGAAGCTGGGTGTTATTGTGCTAGTCAAGGGTGCAAGACTGATTGTCTATGGCAATGGTGGTGTCTGACACAGGAAGCTTCGCATCCCCACCTTGCCTGTCTGCCCACCTCCTCTTTGGGAATCGGGCTTCTGTAAAAAGTGACAGATTTTTTCCTTTTCCCAGGCCCATCTGTTCTTGTTCTTTCAGTTAACTCCATCCCTCAGATCCTGTGGAGAGGTCAAGGCTGTGGCAGGAGGAAGGCCACCCTGACTCCTCCCAGGGGTCCCCACAAAACAGCAAGGACAACTCCCAACTGTGGAGGAAAAGCCCTCCTGTATATAAACCAGCAAGCTGTAACTAAAGAGCTCTGTAGCACCACAGAATTGACTTCTGTTGTGCACAAGAAGCATCTTAAAAGGAAATATATGACTATTTTTTTTTACATAAAAGACAGATGCCATGCATGATGAAAGAACACACAGTCAAGCGCTTAGAAAATTGAAAAGGCCACAGTAGTGTTCCTTCAGTTTCCATTTCCCCATGTCACCTCTCTGGTACTGGAAGGAGTGTGCAATGTTCATTTTTACTGGTTTTTATTTGCTTCACCCATATTAATACCCCTTAGAAATATAATTTCATTTTTCAAGAAGTTTCTGGTTCTGTCTTTGGCCTCAGTTAAGAAGGTAAGTGGTAATAACACATTATAAATCATAAGCTTATGCCTGGAAGTAAAACATCATGGCTTCTAAGAGGCTATGGCTCCTCCCACTCAGTTTTATCTCGTTTTTTACACCTTGGGATAGTTTTTGTTTCTATTTTATTCTCAATTCATTTCCATTCTGACCACTTTCCTTCCCCTATGATCATTTTACAACTACACTGTTTTCCAGAACGCTTCACTGCTGAACGTCTAAAATGCAGCATGGGGTAATTTTGTCCTCCCTGAGGTCAAAGGCCATTGGTTATAATCACATCTGTCCCCTTCGAGCCAGCCGTGCCAGCTCACAGGCAAGCTCTGGTACTTCAGAGACTTTGTCCGAGAACTGTACAGGCACTCCTGTAACAGAGTGAGGCAGGAACGTGAAGAAAGTTTTATTTGCAGCAGTTTTGAGAGAGAAATCGAAAAAATCTTATGAATCTCAAAGCCTGAACAGCACAGAAAATAAATGAAAGCCTTTACCCAAATTCATAGTGATTTGCATGGAACACGGTTTTGGATGATACTCAGTTTCCCAGAGAGGATGCTACCAACTCCATATAAGTTTTTATCTCTGAGTATAAGCTTAATTTTGCAAACCGATTTGTCACTTCGAAAGTGACTTTGTTCCCGTGGTTTGTTTCAAGCAGTCCATCCATAAATCTCTTATTTTGCAATCCCTGGCTATGATTTTTTGAGAGCACATCCAGAACGCGCACTGTCCACGTGTCCACCACGACAAACCGATCTGCTCTTTAGGAAGCAACAACAGCCCTAAAAACGCGACCCGGGTTGAAACCCTTCGGCAGGGCGCGAAGAGCCGCGGGGCGGGGCCGGCCGGAGGCAGGGACAATCCGCCACAGCCGGGCGCGGAAAAGTCTCTAGTTTTGTGAAGTTTCTTGCTGGGGAAGCCTGGCTGGGACGCTGCGTTCCGTTCCTCCCCGGGATGCGAACGAGGCAGCTGGAAAAGACAGCCCGATAAAGGGACCCTCAGCATCAATGCAGTCTCCGGCAGGGAGGGCGCGGGAAGGGGGGGACGGATCCATCCGCGGCTGTGCAGTTTCTGCTGGTTTTGGCCGCGCAGCAGCCCGTTTCCTTCCAGCCCTCCTCGCCCCGTTCCTGCTCCCGGGCCCTCAGCCAGTCTTTACCCGACACCCCGCTTCTCGCCGAGCTGCCGCTGGCCCTTGCGCTCCGCAGGGACTCTCCTGCTCCGCGACCCCCACCGCGCCTCGGCGTTCTTACCTGAGCGGCTGGGTTCGGCTCCGCTTGGCTCGGTGCGGTGCGGTGCGGTGCGGTGCGGGCGGCTGCTCGGTACCTGCTTCCGCGCCCGCGCCCGCACCGCCTAACAAAAGCGGCGGCCGCAGACGGACTGCGCGGCCATTGGCGGTGGCGGCGCGCGGCGGGCGCCGGTTGGGCCGGACGCAGCGGAGGCGGGCGCGGGGCGTTGACGCCAGCGCTGGGCCGGTGGGGAGGCGGGGTCGCGCCTCGCACCGTCTTTGTGCTCGCCGGCAGCCCCGGCAGCGCCGCCGCCTCCCGCCGCCTCCCTCAGCCCCGCGCGGCGCGGCGGGCGGCTCCGCTCCGCACCGCTCGGCCCGCAGCGCTCCGCGCCGCGCTATGTGTGCGGGCGCTCCTGTGCCTCCTCGCGGCCGCTTCCCACCCGGCGGGGCGCCTTCGGCCGCGCTCTGAGAGCGCGGCGGGGCAGGGAGTGAGCGGTGCGGAGCACGGACGTGCCGCCTGGCGCGGCGCGGAGCGGCGCGGTCCAAAGGGAGTGCGGCGCCATGCGGGGCCCGGGGCTAGGGCTGGCGCTGGGGCTACTGCTGGGCATGGCGTGGCTGGTGTGCGGGCAGAACGAGACGGAACCCATCGTGCTGGAGGGGAAGTGCCTCGTGGTGTGCGACTCCAACCCCACCTCCGACCCCACTGGCACTGCTCTCGGCATCTCCGTGCGCTCCGGTAGCGCCAAGGTCGCCTTCTCAGCTATCCGCAGCACCAACCACGAGCCCTCCGAGATGAGCAACCGCACCATGATAATCTACTTCGACCAGGTGCGCTGTGGGGTGGCGGGGCTCCGGGCGCGCCGCTGCCGCCGGAGCAGAGAAGTTGCCGGGGAAGGCGGTGAGGCTGGGCCGGGGACGCGCCGCCCCGAGGAGCCCTGCCCGGGAGGCGGAGGGGCTGCGGACCGGGGCAGCAGCCGGGCTGGGCGGTGGCTGAGGCCCTGCGGAGGTGCTGACGGTGCCATTCGCTTCCTTTCTTTCCAGGTACTAGTGAATATCGGCAGCAACTTCGACTCGGAGCGGAGCACTTTCATCGCGCCAAGAAAGGGGATATACAGTTTCAATTTTCACGTGGTGAAAGTGTACAACAGGCAAACCATCCAGGTCAGCCCCAAGCGTCGCCGCCGCGCTCCGCGGGCACCGCGGGAGGGAGCGGAGAGGGCCCGCGGCCTGGCGGGGACGAGGCCGTGCTGGCGGCGGGGCAGGGCCATGCCCCCCGTCCGCCTCCGGGAGTGGAGCACATACCTCCCGGCGCTTTCCGCCCGAAGGGTCGGTTCCCCAGGGGCTGCGCAGACTCCCGGACATTGGCGGGCCCCTGCCCGCATCAGCCGGGATGAGACGGGAGTAAATAGCCTGCCGGCTGGCCCCTTCCCGCCTGCCCGGGCCCCTAGGCATTCCTGAGCCCCAGGACCATCCCTGCGCAGAGCCCTGGGAGCCGCTGCCCGCAGCAGGCTCCTCATCTACTCTGAAGCAGCAGAAGGCTTCATAGGGATTTGGGATGCAGGGAGGTGCCTGTGGCATGGAGATGGTAATGAATGTAGCTCTGTATGGGTGTATGCAGCCACCCTTTGCACACCTTTTGTATGCAGTTCGATGCATACACATCTCTAGGTAGGGATAATAAATTACCAGCCTGAAGCCAGGTAGCATGACCTAGACAGGGAATCTGCCTGTGTAGCAATGCACAATTGCAAAGGTGAATATACTGCTGCATAGCAGAGTCCTGGTATAAGCACCTTCACACACCCAGATTGGCCAGGTAGCTTATTATTAACATGGGTGTGCAATGAGAGCTGAGCAGAGCTTATTGACTGTGTTGTGGCATATTGTCTTCTCTTTCTAACAAAGGAAAACTACCTCTTGAATACACTTCAAACGCGCTGACTCTGGCAGCTGTGGCTCTGCTCCTCGCTGTCTCTGAGGTTTCGCATAAAGCCATCTTTCAATAAGTATGAGCAGACCTCTTTTCATAGCCTGAAAACACAGGCACCCTATTGAAATTCTTCAAAATAGGATCAATGTCCTGTTTTATATGCACTGGGTGTTTTGATGTGGTTGTCAGTCTAAAACAGTGGTGAAAAGCTTCTTCCTTTGGAGTACATACCTTTGCTGGGTTCAGATCGGTATTTCATTTTTATGGGGCTGGAGTTTCAGCTGTCAAAAGAGGCCCTTTCTTAACTAAGCATTTCACCTGCTAGGCGAGCCCTGGCAGTATCATTGTCTGACTTTAATTGACGGAGGGCTTTGTTTTATCTTGCTCTTTAGGTGAGTTTGATGCTAAATGGGTGGCCAGTGATTTCTGCCTTTGCAGGGGATCAAGATGTGACCCGGGAAGCTGCTAGCAATGGAGTCCTGATTCAGATGGAAAAAGGAGACAGAGCTTATCTAAAACTGGAGAGAGGAAACTTAATGGGAGGCTGGAAGTATTCGACATTCTCTGGATTTCTGGTGTTCCCACTTTAAATCACTTCTTATCCAAGAAAAGGGAGAGATCTCTTACAAATTCACAAGTGGTAGCTGGGTTTAAAGAGTTGGGGACAGCAGACTTTTTACATTCAAATATTAAAGAAGCTAAATCCTGCTTAGGTTTGTGTACACCTGCTTTGAAGAATTACTACTTATTTTTGTTGTGTTGCAGCCAACAGGCGGGAGATGCTATAATTGATACCCCCCCCATTTATATTCTCCCACAAAATTGGTTCCCATCCCTGTGTCATTGGTGTAATCTGCCACCATTTCCCCATGGTTTCTGCCTCACATGAGTAGACTTTAGATATTTCCATTGTCCTTTACAGCATATTTTGTAGTTTTGTTTTTAAAACATGTTAATCTTGACTCTTTCTCTGAGTTTAACTTTTAAAACAAAACAAAACAAAAGTATTTTTGAATACATGGATGACATGATGGAAGGGAAAATGCAATTCTTGCTGTGTACGGGCTGGCAAAGGGAAAATTTCTACATGAAGAACTATTCACAGCCAACGCTGACTAGAGTATTTCAATATTTCTATGTAATTCTGAGTGATTGTGAAATTTAAGGCTGCTAAATGTTTTGATGCTTGTTTTGCTCTTGTACAATGTGGCCCAACTAAACGCCAGGAAGTATATTGAACTTTTACTATTACTCCGTAATATATGAGTGAATATAAAAAAATAATTTTTGCTTTAATTTAATAAAGTTTAAATGGGACTTTTATTTTTCTCAACCAGAAATGAGGTTTCTCAATGCAGGCAGGCAGGGAGAGGAGGCGGCTCAGCGCCTTCCCAGGGCCGCGGAGCCTCCGCGGGTGCGGCCGCAGTGCTCCGCTTCCCCCGCCATGTAATGCCCTCCCCGCCCTGAGCAGGGCCACGCGGCCGCGCAAGACCCGCTGGCAGTGCCGGCAGCCCAAGCGGAGCCGCTGCTAGGAAGTTTCCCGCCGGCTCTTCTGTCCGCTTATTTATAGCATTTATGTGTATCATATTCTATAAACAGGATCGCATTTTATACGGCCGTCTAAAAATACCTGATGATGTACACTTCGATGCTCGTATTATTTATTTGCCAGTATTATTTTGTTTACAGTCTTTTAAAGATGTAAATGCTATAATTTTGCAGTACTCAGAGATTACTAATTTTATTAAAATGTGTGTATGGGGATCTAGATTGTATCTAAACTTTAATGTGAAATAAAGCAATGACACGAGCCTGTCTCTGAGTGAAAGAGCTTCTCTGCTTCGCGGTGCGGCCCCGGCGGAGCCGAACAAATCCCGGTTCCCAGGGAGAAACTGAACTAGCTCTTAGGTGGGGATCAACACGAGCACAGTAAGCAACTCTCGCTTTATTTGCAGGTTCTGCCCTTGAAATAGCCGGGCGGAGACGCCTCTCCCTGCCCCGGCCTTTTCCGGGCGGTTCCGCGGCGGGGCGGCCGGCGGGAGCGGGGCTAGGCAGGGCTCAACCTGATCCCGGGGGGTCGCGGCCCTTAGTTTCCAAGTGAGCACATCGCCCGCGAGTCAGCACCCGCTTCTCTGTCACCGTGGGGCGCGGGGGCCAAACACCTCCCACTCGCGCGATTCCGACACGCGCAGGTCGCGAATTGCGCCCGGCAGCAAACGGGAAGGCGCGGACGGTCCCCGCCGGGACCTTGGCGGGGGCCGCGGTACCTGCGGTGGCTGGCGGGAGCCGTGCAGGGAGACCGCCGAGATTTATGGGAAAGAGTTAATAACGGCAGGCGGCCGAGTTGTTTTCACTTGGAGTTATAACCTGCCCGAGACAATCCACATATCGGATTCTCCTGGCTGCGCGCTCCTCTCAATATAAGACATTTTATTACTTTACCCTGAAGCCTTTCGCCGCTCCCGCACCAAGCTTCTGGCCGGGCTTCTCACCCCTCTCCCGCAGCGCGGCCCTCTGTCCCAGCCGCCGCACCCTCTCACCCAGAAGAGACGGGACGAGCAGGGTGAGCGGAGCCGCTCCTGTCCCCCATGACCGCGGCAAGGGGGCAAAGGGATTTAAAAACTCCACCAAAAGGGGAAACAGAGATCACCGGGTCACAAGAGAGGAGCCGCAGCCCGCTCAGGGAGCCCAGCAGCCGCAGGGTGTCCCGGCAAGCGGCGCGGTGCGGGGGCTGCTAAGTGCTGATGCTTCGCTTTTTGCTTTTTTGGTGTGTGGGGGGTTTTTTCTTTGTTTGTTTGTTTGTTGTTTTTTTTCCTGTCCCTTAACACGAAGCAAATAAACCTGCCGCCTCCCGCTGAAAATTTCCCCCTGCTTGTGAGCGTCTCATTAATACTGTGCAGCTGGAAATTATATTATCCCCAATAGCAGCAAATCACCGCTCTGCGGCTATTGCAAAATGCCGCCGCGGCTACCTGGGAAAGCCGCCTCAGCATCGCGCCCGCGCAGCGAGCCCCCCCCCCCCCCCGCAGCTCACCGCCGTGAGGTACCCAGGAGTAAGCCCTGTGCGGGGCGCAGCCGCCCTGAGGCCTCCGGGGAGGCACAGCACTGCAGCATCCCGCTGTGGAGTAAAGTCGTCACCTCCTCGAAGCCCCTGTGACATCGGCCCAGCCCGGGGAGCCCTTGCCTGCGTCCCCGTCCAGGGGCCTGCCCCGGGTCCTGGGAGGGACGGGCGGTTCCCGCTGCTGCCCTGGCCCCGCCCAGACTCCCCGCGGCTGCTGAGTGTAGAAGCGAGGGCTACGGCCGAGCCTCCGCGTGGGGTTCGCTGCGGCAGCCGAGCCCCTGTAACGGAACTCACTTCCCAAGAGCCCCGTCCCGGTTACGGGGAGGGCCGCATGGAGCCGTTCACACGGGGCCTCGCGCCGCCGGCAGCGCGCTCCTTGAGGTCGTCTCTCTTGCGGGGTGGGCGGGGCTCTCCGCGAGCCTCGCACCTCTGCGGGCTGGCTAGCCAAGCGAGGCGGCGCCGTTTTGCTCATGGCGCGATGCTGGGCCTTGCGACCCGCAGTACCACCCCCAGGAGGAGAATGGGAGCCGGCGGGGAGACCGGGCCTAAGGAAACTGGACCCACGTGCAAGTGGCTGTCTGAGAGGTGGGGGTAAGAGCGCTGGGGTCGGATCCTCCCTTCTGCCCTCGGGCGGGCCTACCCGGCAGCTGAGGATGCCCCACACCAGCAGGCCGCAGCTGCGACTTTGAGCGGCAGACTCCGCCGTGGCCTGGGGCTGGGCAGCGGGGTCTGGCTGCGGTGATCACCGGCCAGGTTGCAGGGAGGTAGGAGCGGGCAAGGGGCTCGTGGCGCCTCGGTCGCTCTCGGCTTTGTTCGGTGGCCCCGCCGTGAAGCGTGAGCAGCTGGCAGGAACCACCTCAGCCAGCGGGCCTGGTGGCCTGTCCCGCCCGAAGCGCCGCACCCGGGCCCGCCGGCTCTTGCCAGGGTCCCCTCGCTCCCCGCCACTGACCAGTCCCTCGCTGGGAGGCTGCGTCCCGTCAGGGCTCTGGGGCATCGTATGCAGATCCCGCAGCCAAGGTACTGTTGAGCCTGCGCCTGGGCAGGGGTGGGTGCGTGCTTCCTCCGGATATGAGCAGTTACTGCGCTTTACTCGGCTTTAATGTGTTTTTTGGTTGATGTAAGTAATGTCTGATTGAATTTATTGCTGATTAGCATTGAGCATTAGTTTACACAACAAGAAATTATGTTTCATTCAGTTCATTAGCATGACTAGTGCTTGGTTTATGAGCATATCACTAATGGTAATGACCAGAGTTGATTGATTTCTAATGTGAATATAATTACACAGTGTAGGGGAATTAAAGGAAAAAATCCACATTTTTTAATTGTTGGGTTTTTAAGGAGAGCGTGTGGGGGGTATAGGGGTGGAACGGGAGAAACAAACCAACTGGCTTATGCACAAATGATACAAATATAAATATTAATAACTCCAGGAGGAGACAGCAAGTTTGGCCCAAAAGAAGAGAAACTCAGACAGTTAACTCAGGGGATAGTTAATGCACACTCCACACTGCAAAACATAATTTCTCCTCTTCTACCCCCAGGTACAGCTCAGAGCCCAATGAGTTCTCTTGGAAGAGGCCGTTCCTGAGGAGCCAGCAGACGCAGGGCTTTGTGCATGGCCGGGCAGCCGGCTCCCTCCAGCCCAGCCAGAGGCTGCGCGGCGGCGGGCTCGGCTCGGAGGCAAAGCCGCTACGGAGCGGAGAGCGGCGCCTTCCTCAGGGTTCACAAGGAGCAGATCAGTCAGCTGCAGAATCTTGGACAGCAGAGGCAGTGCCGCCCCAGGCAGGGAGCGCACTGCTCGCCCCGCGCCCCTGATCCTTTCAGAGAGGGGCATATGGAGACTGGCAAGTGTTGGAGAGCCCTGGCTGGAGCAAGGTGAAGGACTGCAACAGGTAAGAAGAGCAGAGTGGGACTGCCTGGGCCACCCACCATGTGGGATTTTAGAGGCAGAGAGGGAGGGGACAGTACTGTGAGGGCTGGGGAAGAGCAAGGCAGAAGTAGCTTGTGTACCTCAGCAGTGTCTGGTCTGTGCTTTGTGTCCCTGTTTCGTTTGGGACTGTTCTTTCTACTTAAATGGAAAGGTGATCTGGGAAGGGAGATCTTATCAGAGCGTTTTGCTGGAGGTATCTCCAGTGGCATGTGCACAGGGGGTAAGGGGGAAGGCTCAGGTTCTGTGGGAACCCCTGTAATGTGGAAATGTGGGGTGGGAGGTGGTTACAGAACTGGTTTTTTTTGCTTTATCTTGGGCAGGGTGAGAGAACATAGAGTATACTCTGCCAAAAGGTATCTGTTGTTGCTTACCTAGAAAAAAAAAGAGGCCTTGTGGATTTTTTTTCTTGTTGTTGGGGTTTGGGGGGGGGTGCTTTTGGGGGGCGGGGGGTTGTGGGTTTTTTGGTTTTTTTTTTGATGGAAATAAGCTACGTGCCTTGCCTTGGGAGAAAAGGGTTTGGACAAGGGCTAGCAATAAGCAGTCACTGTGTCTTGGGGCATTGCTCCTCTCTGTGATCTCAACACTCCCTGTAGAAATCCAGTCTTGACCTGAGGCTGCACTGAGAATATCCCATTGGGTGATTTCCCCCACCTTCCAGGCATCCTAGGATACAGGACAATGGAGTGTCTCTGCTCCAGTGGTCTTGGGTTGTTGATCCCAATAAACAGCTGTGCACATTTTTTCAGAGCTTTATCCCACTCCATGCCAACTTTGAGCTTTCTGTTGCTCAAATAAGGAAGATTATGCCATTTGCCCTTTTGCACCTTTATACCTGTGTTGGTGGGAAGCTCTGGTAATGAGCCGTTATACATTTCACCAGTTGTGAAATCCTACAGTATTTGATTCTTGAAATGAAACAGTTGCTGTTCTGAACTTGGAACATGTCTGGGATACTGAAAAGTCTTGTTTAGGGAAATTTCTTTTAGGAGGCAGTTGTGGAGCTATTGGAGAATGGTTCTAGCATTGCACAGGCATCTAGACTGCAAAACATTCCCAAGGGTCTCCTGTCTAATCACTAACAAAAATGGGTTCACTGTCATGGATCTTCGTTAATGTGAAATTTTGCTAAGCTATTAGATGAAAGAAAACCTGAGGAAGAGATTTTGGAAGAGTTTGAGTAAAATGAAGACAAAATGTGAATAATTATCATTCATATTAGTAATATGTTGTGTACTGTATGTTAGAAGACATACCAGTGCCTCAACTTTGGTTACGTTTTCAGTCAGAAGTGCTGAAAATTTCTTAGCAGAGACATTCAGCAGTAGTGCTATTTTTCTTTCTTTTTTTTTTTTTTTTTTTTTGTGTGTCTATGCAACAATCATTCAAGGACTAGAGCATCACAGGAGGACTCCTGCTTTGTTTGCAGTTAATAGTCACACAGCTTATAGTGGAGTTTTCATCTAATTTTTGCACTTCATACTAAAAAATTCTCGTCTGCTTTCAATGATTTGGGCTTCAGGGTCATTGAAGTCAGGGCCATCCTCCTCGAACTGCTTCTATACCAAGTGTTTCCCAATGTTGCAAGTAGTAAATAACCTTTTTCAAAGGTAAATATGGTAGTGAAAATTAACACAATCATGAACGTTTTCTGTTAATAAAAGCCCTGTGCCACTACTTGCATGATAGTTGGTTTTGGTGTTGCTGTCCCCAAAGCAGCTCTATGTTTCTCTGCCTGTTATCTAGTAAAAATGCTGAGTCTTAAAATAAATGAACGAGCCATATTGCTCAGTCTTAGCAGCTTTTTCCTTCAAAATTTC